CATGCGCGTCCTGCTCTGTGAATGTGATCGGTAGGTCGTCCTTGAACAGTGGTGGTGCGTCCTTCGAGAGATTGGCTGCCTTCCGTTTGTGCCGTTTAATTGAATTTATCGAGTCGGTGCACGAGAGGCGACCTCCCATGATCATGTTGATCCGCCGACGTGGTAAGCTTGGAGCTAGAAGAGTGATCGGTGTTATCTCTTCTATCGCGATCGTCATCGGGTCACCTGTCCTCTTCGTCAGATCGTCGTGAACTCCGGGGTTCTGGAAGAGTGATCTCGCCATCGTCCCACCTCTTCCTCAAGAGGGCTGGGAGGGTGCGGCAATCATCGGTATGATGACCGTGCGCCCTATGGTATTTGCACCACGACTTTTTGCTGTCGGAGTCTCTGTCGCTCGAGCGGTCCCACACGTTCCATGGCTTTTTTGGTCGTCCAACTGTGTTGATGCTCTTGCGATTCTTGTCATCCTAGTCGTAGTGCTGACGGGGCTCTTTGTAATCTTCCTGACTCGATAATCTGCCTTTCTTGTCACGCGAAGATTTCTCATCTGCCAACTTGGCCTTGGCCTCGGCTGCCCAATCCTCTTCAACTCTGATGTACCCGGATGCCTTGTGCAAAGCATCCTCTAGGGTTTTGGTTTTTCCTGTCTTTAATCGTTCACAAAACAATGAATCATCCTTCAAATTCTTGATAAGAATGTTGAAACACAGTTCGTCCGACAGACTGCACTGGGAGACGATTGATCGGAATCGATCGATAAAATCGCGTAGCGGTTCTGTGTCGTCCTGGACGCATGCCCATAGATCGAGCGCTGTGGACTCCGTGTCGATGTAAATCGAATAATGCTTCAGGAACCGAGCTGTGAGCTCCTTGAAGCTGTCGATGGAGTTTTTGGGAAGCTGTGAGAACCCGGTGAGGGCGCTTCCGGAGAGCGTCTCCACAAAGTATTGACAGAGGCAAGCTTCATGTTCCTCATCGGTGAAGCGAGCATGTCCCATGACTGCGTTGAACGCGGTCAGGTGTCGCTTCGGGTCTGTCATGCCGGAGTAACTCGGAGGTAGCTTCATCCGACCTATGTCCTTAAGAGGAGCATTGGTGATTGCCGACGTGAACGGGGTTTTCTGTGTTTCCTGAAGGATCTTATCCAACTCGGGCGCTGAGGTCGTTGCTTTGTGGATCTTGCTGTGGATATCATCAAGGCGTTGATGGAGAAGATCGAGTTCCGAGGTTGTCGTCGGGTCGGTTCCTGCGATATTGCGAGATGAGCGGGCATGCGAGCCATCTGCCTGTGCTCTCCGTAAGTCGTCCGTCGGTGTCGTGCCAAACAGGTTGTTGACCAGCCTGGTCGTATCTGTGTTGCAGATCGAAGGGCGAGGGGGAGTGATAAGATCGGCCTGCTCTTGGGTATGAACCCTAGAGTTTATAAGCCGATCCAAGTCTTCTCTGTAAGCTATCTGCTCGGCACGGAGGGACTCGAATCGAGCATCCATCCCCTGTTGCAACTGTGCTGCTACCGACCTGATGATCGTGGCCATGTCGACGGGAGGTGGCTGTGGCAGGCTGGTCGTGTTTCTGCCACCCATCTGACCGACCTGGTCTGTTCCCCCCGTGTTCTGTGTGGTAGTTGTGTTGTCTTCCTGATCGGTCTGGTGGGCCACCGGAAGCCCTGTGGCTAGGTCGATGATCGGATCCTGAATGTTTCTTGTCGGATCGGAGGCTCCTGTGAGGTCGGTAGTGTTGATCGGTGTTTGAACCATCTTCAAACTCCGTTCTAAGTCAAAGATTACTTTTTTATTCCCCACAGACGGCGCCAACTGTAAAAACTCAAGTTCGATCTATGAAAGAACTAGGGTTTGTGGGTTTAAAGAGATCTTTTATTAGAAAAAGCCGGAGCTTGAATGAATACACGAGGGTTTAGGTCGTCGGAATAAGAACGTCGACCTAAACTTTTTATGGAAAGTAAATCGAAAGCTAGAACAATCTGATTGCTTAGTTTGCTCTAGGTCTCGATAGATGATTTTTTGGATAGGTTGAAGAGTCGAGGACTTCCTACATTTATAGCCGATCAGGTCGGTCTTCAATCTGCTTGGAATAGGAAACTCTTGTCGGCAAGGAGTTTCCTTTTTCCCCGGGTCGATCGATAAATGGAAGATTCCTTTTATGCTACCGATCTGGAACTTGTTAGACGGGTTGACCAGAATTCGTATCGGCCTTGTTAGAGACGGTACGGATCTCATCTCTAACATATACTTTCTTTTTCTCTTTACACAATATAATTTTGCCAATATATATATATATATATATATTAAGTATTTTTTTTCCTTGACCTCTTTCTAATTAAACCAAAATGAATTTTACCATATTTACTTATCCTAAGAGCGTGTAGATGGTTGGTCCGCACATTCGTGCGAACTAACCACCTCACCGCTCTTAGGACATATAAAGATTTTTAAAAAAGATAAATTGTCTAACAACTAAAATTAAAATTAGAGTGTAATCAAGGTTAACAAAATGTATGCACAACAAATTTGCATGCAAGTTTGACTTTTACACAATTAATATTTATATCTACAGTATTTGTAAAAAAATTTAAGTATAGCTTTTATGTGTTAAAAGAAAATAACAAAGTATATGTTTTGTAATATATCTTTTTATAATGTATAGTTGATTTTTTTTTAAAAATAATAAGTATATTTATGCATTTAGGTATGAGTTAAAAATAAGTGCATTATAATATTTAGGTGTTGGTAAGTTTTTTTGATATTTTCCGCAAACGTTATGTTTTTATGCGATGCAGTTATTGGTATTTAACAACAACCACGAAAACCGTTTCTATCGTTTTGTATTTAATCAAAATTTCTTATTTTTCAGCGTTTTAAGATATATGGTTTCTCAATAAAAAATATAATAAATATTTATTATAAAATTTGTGAAATCATATTTTATAAAATTCTCTGGTAGTTCTCCGCTCATCTCTTCGTCAAAAGTTTTAATAATCCGCAATCGCTCGTCTCCACAAACTCTCTGTAACATAATCGTTTTAGCCAATCAGATCTAAACTTATTTATGTATGATTTAAGGTGTAAAATAATATATTTAATATTTGACTGTTTTATCAAAAATTAAGAGTTGATCTGTTCCTAACTTTAATCTATTTGTTAATACAAAATATAATGGATCACAACATATACAAAAAGTTTGATTCATGAAATAAGGTTTTAATATGTTGGACAAATATATGCATGAAATAATTAATATGTGTAAGATAATATTCTTAAACATTTGAAATAAAAATATAAAATCGATCAAAACTATTCTTATTTTTTCTTCTCTTCTTTGACTCATATTTTTTTAACATTTAATAATATATTTAACATTAAGATCATATCAAATGTATTTTTTTATTTTTTTCTCTATAATATAAGTGGACTTCTCTCCAGCTTATATCTATTTTACAGAAAAAAGAAAGATTATTATTTTTTCCTCTATAGTTGAAAAAAGTAACAACCTTTCTTTTTTCTCTAAATTAGAACATTTAAAATAAAAGTGACTTGGAGATGCTTTAAATCAAAAATATAATCTGAGATTTGTGTAGAAAACCAAAGTCGTAAAGATTCATTTTTACTTTTACTTGTACTTTTTATTCATATATACAATATTATAATAAAAATTGACAAGAGGATATTTATAATTTATTTTTCTCTTTGTTTATTTTTTTGTTTCATTTATAATTTTGAATTCTTGCTATATAATAAAAATTCATTCACATATGATATAAACTTTTTTCTAATTTAAAAAATGAAATTTATTTAGTTTTAACTTAACCAATCAAAATATTTCGTTTATTTTAGGAAATTTGTCATGTTACATTTATGATATGACATTGTTTTGTACTAAATTTTCATTAGGTGTTGACACATAAGATTTCTTTAGTAAACATGCTTCTCGAATAATAATTAGGATGGCTAGAGTTTGTCGCTGGGCGAGCCAGGATATCGAGAATAATAATTAGGATGGCTAGAGTTTGTCGCTGGGCGAGCCAGGATATCTGGATCCAAAGATCAATCTTAACTTTAATATTAAAACACAAACCATAAGTCTCTATTTGAAGAGAAGTTTTGTAGCTATGGTACAATTTTTGTATGATTGGCTAATTGTAACTATAACTCTTTAATAAATAATGTTTTATTTAGAAAACTAACTTTTAATCTTCGCAGTTTTATCTAAGTCATACGAGAATATAATAAGATCTTGGGTCTGGATTTAGCACAATCTATCCTTTACGAGAGCTTTCTCAAAATTCTCGGTTCCTACGAGATTTTGGTAAACTTATCTCGGTCAAACCTAACCGTGAATGATGCTATCTCCCACACAAAGCTTCCTATGAAGACATCATGTTAGGTATTGTCGTCAGAGAAGTCTACGAGTGGTAGATGTTGATGAGTTGATCCCACTATCCAGATAATTAGAAGTGTTATTTAAACAGTTTAACATCATTCGATATATTGACAATTGTTTTTTAAAAACAAATATATTTTAAAAAATTGTATATTTTAACACTAGTAAAAAACCTGGCTATAGCCACTGTTTCTTTCGTGACAAACAGTAGCTATATGATTTTATCGCCACGAAAAGCCATGGGGAAAAACCATAGTTATACGATCGTGACTAATTTATTTCGTGGCTTTTCGTGGCTACATAGCCACGAATTAGTCACTGGTGTATTTTGTGGCTATATTAGTCACGCGTTTATTCGTGTCTATATAGCCACGAATTAGTCACTGCTTTCCGTGGCAATCTTTGTCACGAATTAGTCACTCACTTATCCGTGTCTATATAGCCATGAATAAGTCATGGCTATTTCGTGACTAAGATTGCCACAAAATATTAGTGACTTAATTGTGGCTATGAATTTAAAAAAAGAAAAAAATATATTTTCGAATTTTAATAATAAAACGTATATTTATAAGCAACAATCAAATCATGTTGGTAAACCATCATATAAAATACGAAAATGCAATAATCAATTAGAATATTATACATTAAAAAGTATTTGAAACATAACATAAAAGTTAAACAGTTTAACATGAAAAGACATTAGAAAAAACTAATCTCCTAATAAAGAAGCATACATCTCATCTAGTGTAGGTTGTTGTTGACTTGGGTTTGTGGTGTTAGCAGGATTTGTAGAGGCAGCAGCAGCGGCAGCAGCAGCAGGGGGCAGAGAGGCATCATCAGTAGTAGTAGAAAGCGGAGTGGTACCAACCTTTTGTAGGAATGCATTTAGTACTGCCACCATTTCATTCTTGACTGTGGCCAACTCATCCTTGAACTCACCCCTCATCGCCAGCACATCTTCCTTGAGCGTTTCAACATTGCTGTTGACAGCTTTTGAATTAGCTTCCAAACCGGAGATACGCATGTCGATGTCGACGGTGTGTGTATGAGATTCATGGACTGTCTCGGTCGGAGTGAAATCCCGAAGCTGCACACTGCCTATTCCGTATACTCTCCCTCGCTTTGTCTTGCTGCGCTGTAAAAATAAATAAATATACAAAGTCAGAGACAAAACAGTCTAAAAACACATTCTTAAACACTACAAAATAGCAATTCGAGATGAATCACAACAAAAACACATGGCTAACATGAAAAGTCTAAACGAGTCACAACACAAACACAAAACCATTATAGCCAACAAGTCGATCCACAACACAAACCCAAATCCATTTCCCTAACTATCATCAAAAAGCGAGTAAAGTAATGAGTGAGTTATTGTAGAGTACTTTGAGAAATTCTTCGTTGAGGAGAATGCGAGTAGGAATTGCAGACGTTGCAGCTGTTGAGGTGCCTTGGCTGTCAGAATGAGGAGATCCATCATCAGCTGTCATCTCTGACACGGCCTCCTCTACTTCAAGAACAAGAGATTCTGATCGACCATCAACGAAAGTTCCATCTGACCGCGTGTGTGTCTTATGCACGAGATCGGTGTAAGGTGGTGGTTCATCAAGACCAGACGCCACCATCTGGAAAACATGTAAACATGTAGATAAATAAATAAGTAGAGAATATAGCATATTAAAGATTAAAAAAGGGAGAGAAAGATATTCACTTACCATGTCATATTCGATCTTTAAAAAGTTTTGAGGACCTGCACAATGCTTGTGTACCCCTTTCTCTGTCATGCGAGATGAAGCCGCTGACTTGCTCCTTTTACGGGCTGGTTCTGTTGACCAAAACTCCAGCAGAGTGGTCCAGTCAGATTCGCTTATGAACTTAGGCTTCTGGTTCAGTCTCTTCTTCTTACAGATCTTTTGGTATATTGTTGTCTGTGTGTGCAACTTCCAAAGACGGTAGACCTCGGTTTTAAAATGATCTTCCCAGTAGTAGTTTTGCTACAATGAAAACAATGAACATTAATATATGTATTACCATAAAAGTAAACAACAAATAATTCTGAAACAAGCACAACACTTACCACAAATGTCTGCCACCACTTATCTTTCCTCTCTTGAGGAACAAATTTCCAGCTACTCCATGGTCCCATGTAGTAGGCTTGCCATGTTGTTCGGATGAATTTTTGGACAGATGGGTCTACACCGAACCTGAGATAAGAAGAACTACAATCAGAGAAGACAATACATTATAAGAAGAAATAAGAGGACTCGGTTATGTAGAGAACTTACCATAAAACACCATTGAGTTTCCTTGGATGGAGGTGTGGATGAAGCTCTCTCGAGGGAGAATTCAATAATGCTTCTAGGGTCATACGGTTGTAGTTATTAGCACCTGAAGATGCAGCGCTTGGTGGCATGGCAGGACTACTTGTAGATCCAACAGCTCCTAGTGGCGAGTCAGGACCTGAAGAGCTTCTAGAACCTACAGCTCCTGGTGGTATGGCATGGCATGTCAAAACAACAAAAACATAACTTAACTCGTGTGAAGAACAATAACATATACTCACTACGGTAAACACACACACACACACTAAAGATTATAGCTAAACACATATACACGCTCACACATTAGAACAATAATGTGAGAAAACACATAAGAACAATAATGTGAGCGAACATATACTCAATTTGAAACCCAAATTCTAGTCGACATCTTGATTATATGCAATGTAGGTTATAAATCCACAATGTGATAAATAATTAATGGAAATCTTGAAAGCAAATTCTAGTCGAAATTTCAAGCAAGAGAAATCCCAAATCAAAACTCAATTCGAACTCCAAACAAATCGTTTCAAAAATTAATGAAATTTTATGAAAATTATTGACAGTTGAAACAACATAATCAAAAATTAGTGACAGTTTCGCAAAAATTATTCACAACTAAACACAAACACAAACATGCAAGAGCCATTCGAAACCCAAATTCTAGTCGAAACTTCAAGTAAGAGAAACCCCAATCAAAACTCAATTCGAACTCCAAACAAACGAAAATTAGCCACACAAAAAAAACCCCAAATCAAAACCCTAAATCTAATCCAAACTTCAAGCAAAACGATAAACCCTATTTTTTTATAGATCCAGAAGACTTATCCGAGTCGTGGTTGTTGGCGGTGACTGAGTTATGGCGGTTTTGGCAAGGAGGAGCCATCGAGAGGGAAGAGAGATCGACAAAGAGAGAAGAGAGATCGTTAGGACACGATGAAGACGAAGAGCAAGAGATTGTTTAGAATTTAGGAATCGAACAAGAGATAGAGTGAGGTATCGAGAGGAAGAAGCTGGAGAAGAAAACAAAAAAGACAAAGGAACGAAGAAGGTTCGAGAGGAAGAAGACGAAGAAGACGAGATAGAGATTTTTGTTAAGTGATGGGTTAAATATTTGGGGTAAAATATTTTTGGTGGGATCAACCAAAATTTGGTGGGATAAACCAAATTAATTGGAGAGAAACCAAAATTTGGTGGTTTAACCAAACAATTAATGGTTTAATCTGAATTGGTGGTTTAAATAATTTTGTGCATGATTTAATCAAAAAATTAGAGAAGTTTTATAATTAAAGATTATTATAAGTACATATAAATTAGAGTAATCATAATTATATTCTGAAACTAAATAATATAAAAATTTGTTTAGTTTTTTTATAGTAATAAGAAACAAAATTTAGTAAATTCTAAATTTATTACAAAAGTCAGTTAAATTTTTAGTTTATATCTTAAACTTATAATTTTAATAAATTTTTAATCTTAAACTTATAATTTTTAGTTATATCTTATACTTATAATCTTAAACTTTATAATTTTAATTCTAAACTCTTTAGGGTTTAGGGTTTATGTTATGGACTTAGGGTTTGAGTTTAAGGGTTTAGGATAAATTTCTATAAAAAAAAAATTATGCAAGTGTTAACAAAATTTTGAGGATAAAACTTTCAATTGATATTTTCAGTTTATGGTTTGATCTTAGGGTTTAAGGTTTAGGGTTTGATTTTAGGGTTTAGGGTTTGATTTTATGGTTTAGGGTTTGATTTTAGAGTTTAAGGTTTGTTCTTAATACACCATTCAGAAAATCTTAGTTTTATTATAATATTTAAAAAATAAAGTTTAATTATACATATGCTTAAAGATATGATAAAACTTAATGAGAATCACAATCAGAATCAGTATCAGAATCAGAGTCATTTGCCAAATTTTCTAATTCACTTCTTCTTGGATCTCGTTCTCAGCATCCTTAGCAAGTTCGAGAACATTCTTAGTCCGCTTGCACCTCCCATCCTTAGTCGGACTAGGAACCCGGTCGCGGATTTACTTGTTAAGTCCATCCCAGAATTTCATAGCACAATGAGTTGAGCAACAAACAACTTTACCATTGGCTTCTGCATCAAGTGCATAGTCCAAATGGTATTGCTGAACTGAACGCCTGCCCTGCTATATTCTCAGATAATGTTCTAAGGTTCCATGCATAACCATAGGTAACGGGTGCTTGTGAGCACGTCCACGTTTGTGCATTTGCGGGACCTGTGAGGTTGAAGCTCTGTTGAATCGCGAGCATGCCCACTTTGTGGGTGTAACATGTTTTCTAGCCGTTTCACGAGTATGGAACCTGTTTAGCACAAAAAAGGTTACAAGTTAGATGTCAACTATGCAAGTGTGGGTATTGTTGAAATTATTTGTAAAACTACGTTTTCAAGAATTAGAATATACTCATCCTCACATTAGCCTAAGTGGCGAAGGTGGTGAAGGTGGTGAATGGAGATAAGGCGAAGAGAACTCATCGAGACGGTTACAAGCATCAATCCAGGAGGGGTCGTGCGGAGGTGAGAAAAAAGCAGCGATGGCGTTCGGAGCGGCGAGATGGCTTCTTTTTCAATAGTGGTTCTCCAAGTGTGAGCCGAGGAAAAGTCGTGGGGCTTTGGCATTGGAATTGGGGGATGCACCACCACCTGGGTTGGCCTAAGGCTGCAAACCTTAGGTTAGGTCTCCTTAGACGGCAGCGTATAGGAGAAAGACGACACAAACATGGCAACGCGGGAAAAGAGAGAGATGGCAACGAGGAGATAGAAGGAACTCAGTGGCTAAGAAAGAGATTTGGAGTTTTTATGCTTCTCTAGAACTTTTAGAATGAGAATAAAGATGTGGAGAAATTTTCTATTTATAAATTTAAAAACAAATATATTTATCTATTATATAAAGAGTGGGTTGTGTCTCACAAGAGTCTGACACATCATCCCTATCCATGACACCTCAGAAAAAAATTAATCATAATTTAATTAGTTAATTTAATTATCATCTTATTCCTCAATATTTTTTGATGTTTGTAGATGAGGCCGAACAATTATTGCTTCGATGACTTCTGCCCACAAATAAACTCGTAGGATTCTTCGTTTTCAATTTAATTCTCGAGTCTTACCTTTGACGATATATATCCCTGAGTCTTCTCTTACAGGATTCCAATCAGAACTAAATCGATCTAAATCGTGAAACCCAGTCGATCCATTTAACAAAATTGGGAACCCATTATTCCACGTCAATCTCAAGAAGAAACGAATCCTAATTTGATAGAGAATCCAATTGATCAGTTCCATGAGGAAAGTGATGCTGCTGATAAAAGAGAGATCATTGGCGGAGAAGAAAGCATTGAGCAAATCCAGTGTTCCTTAATCGCATCAGTTAGAGCATTCTGATAAGATGTGTAAAACTTTCTTCCGTCTTGTACTCCTTGCTTGCATGTTTAGAATCTATAAGCTTAATTGTTTATGTTGTTCGATATTCCTACATGTTTGTAAAGTTCAAGCTGCTCCTGCACGGAAGCTAGAAAAAGAAGATTTGGAGAACAATCGGATCACGTATCTCTCCGCCATCGTCGATGTGGAGGATGCACCGGAGACGGGACGCGATGAGGTGGAATCTGGAGGCGAGCTCTTCTCTGAGTTTGTGAAGAAAAGTTTACTCTAACCAAATCCTCCCAAATCTAAGAAGATTGAACAGGGAGAAGGAGAAGAAGGTGATGTTACCGACGCTGCTGATGAACTTGAAGATGAAGAAACTATTTTTCATGTAGGTAAATCTTCCCAGGGTTTATATTTGGGTTTGTCTCATCTCTTCTGATTCAATTCAGATTTAGGTTTCTCTTCTCTTACATTTCTATTTTTCCCTAATTAGCATAGAAAAGGCTCCAATCCTACACCCGTTGAGGCTTCTCTCGTGCAGGGATTCATGTTTCAGCTTTGTAAAGGCGTGGCGAGATGATTTGGAGACAAGCTCTTTTCCCTGGTGATTCAGAGTTTCAGCAGTTGCTTCACATTTGCAGGTAATCGCTTCTTCTTTCGATCCAGCTTCCACCATTTTGAATATCAGTTTATTGATAGTTTTGATGTCAGTGTATCAAGCTTATTGATGGAACCTGTTAAGCCCCTCCCGTTGGAAGAGACTCCATTCAAGCTGTTCAAGATGTGAAAGATCTGAAAGAATTGGCCGCTAAATTGCGTACTGTTGAAGAGTTTGAGGTAAATTTTTGTTTGACTATAATGTCTGTTGGTAGACGCAGTAAAGAATTTGATAATTCTGTCATTATGTCAAGAATCTCTTGTAAATGATATTAAACTACCAATGTGATAGATATTTCAGCATTTTGGTGTGGAAAACATAAAGTTTCGTTACTTAAAATTCTCTCTTTGATTAGATAGGCCCAGAACAGCTTAACTTGTACCTCCGCCCTTTCTTAAAGTTGTTTTGTTTGGCTCTGTTTAGGTTGATCTGGAACATAATACGTACCGGTCTTTTCAAAGATTGACATGCTTGATGCAAATTTAAACCAGAACAGAGGATTATATAGTTGATACATTCAAGCTCCGTCTTCACGTTGGTCCTTACCTAAGGGAGCTTTTCAAAGACCCTAAAAAGGGAAAGGTTTTTTCCTGAGATACATTAATTCCTGAATAAAGGGGCTAAAAGATTTGTTCTGTACTGATTGTTAATTTAATCAGGTGATGCAGAGATATGGTTTTGCTTCAACGGGACTTTGGCATGGTCTACCTCGAGACATTTTGTTTCCTGATTGATTTTCCTTTTTTTTGGTTGCAGCTCAAATCACTGGGCTTCTCATATGAATGGGACTGTGAACTCTCTACAACAGAGCCAAACTATTATAATTGGACACAATGGATCTTTCTTCAGCTTTATAAGAGAGGTTTGGCATATCAGGTCAAGAAAATCATTGTTTAGCTCACAAGTTAAAACCTTTTCATTTGCATTTAGAAAAGCTCTTTTAAAAATTTGTAAATTCAGGCTGAAGTACCCGTGAATTGGTGCCCGGCTCTTGGTACTGTTTTGGCTAATGAGGAAGTTGTGGATGGTGTTAGTGAGCGTGGAGGCCACCCGATTATAAGAAAGGTAATAACTTTCACCATAAGGGAATCATCATATCTGTTTTTCGTCTTCTGAAAATCCGAAATTCGTCTGTTTGGAAAGCTCTCATGATTTCTACAGTGACATTATTTATTACCAAGCAACCGATGAGGCAATGGATGCTGAAGATTACTGCATACGCTGATCGTCTTCTAGAGGATTTAGACGAGCTTAAGTGGCCCGAGAGTAGAAAAGAAATGCAGAGAAACTGGATTGGTAGATCATAAGGAGCTGAGCTAGATTTTTCGATTCTTGATAGCGAAGGAGGTCGAGAAACTGACAAAAAGATTACAGTTTATACCACCAGACCAGATACCCTTTTTGGAACAACATATGTTCAACAGACTACAATCATATTTTATGATTCAGAATTCAAGATTCTTGATCTTGATTGTCTTATATGTTCTGCAGTTACATGGTTGTGGCAACAGAGCATCATTTGTTGTCTTACTTTGTAACTGAAGAACATAAACAACATATATAAAACTTCATTTATACATTTTCAATAAAAATCAAATTATCTTTCATATATGTTTTACATATAAAATTCAATCTTAAATAGAGTTTTGTTTAATGTTAAAATTCAACACATTTAAATTCTATATGTGGTTTCATTACTTATTGATTTATTTTACTAATAGATTTAGTTATACTAATTTCACTTTAAAAATTAGATAAATACACAAAATAAAACATTTAAAGTCATCAAACATCTATTAAGAAAAAATCCCGCATGTAAACGTTGAAATTTCAATACAGATTGATATTTAAAAAAATTGTTTACTGTACGTGGTTATAAAGTATGTATTGTGGTTATAAAGTATGTATTGAGAATATTAAACACTATATTCTTCAAATTTCTAAAATAAAAGAAAGGCAGTGAAATTAGAAACAATTTTCAAATAATAAATAAATATATATAATTGGGTGATTTAGGTTGAAGCAAATAAAAATAAACCGTAAAGTTCTAAAAAAAAGACGGATCAACATAGATCAATGTTTTCTTAATTCAATCTTTAAAAAATTGTGATACAAAAAAATTAAGAAAAATTGTAAAATAAAGATATCATGTTATAAATAAAATGGCAAATACTTTTTATAAGAAGAAATTCAATTAGCAACTTCTATCGGTTTATGACATATAAAATCAAATCTAAATACACACGTTAAACCATCAAAAAGTATTTGTTTAGAAAATATACACATACAAAAAAAAATTGTAAAAGAAAAACACATATGTATGCTATATTATATTTATGAAGGGAAAATAGCTCGCCAAACCTTAAATACTTAATTCTTCATACTAAAAAATCAACAAAGAAGTAGAGGAGAAAAATACGATAATAACTAAATTTAAGTCTTACATACGTATTTTCATACAGGAATTTACAATAGGATATAAATTTCGATAAACATATTTTTTTAGGATATACATAAGTCAATTTCGATAAACACAACTTTTCAATATATTTGTAAGTCATCATATAGTAGAGGAGTGTAATAAATTATTATCACCTTTCATTTAACATATAAAAGTTTTTCATCAACTTTTTCAAGTCTCATTACTAAGCAATATAAAATTAAAACTGAAATTTGTTAAAAGATACACATATGATAATATAGAGTGATCATACAAATTTCACCCAGTTTAAAGCAAATTTAGAGTGTTTCAAAAAATGAAAAAGCTTTCTTCTTTTTTATAAGTTTAAGAAAAAAAGTTCAAAAAATATTTAGTATCAGAAATTTTAAAAAAAATTAAAAACAACATTTACAATAAATGATAAAATGTAGATTAGTTTAAAAAATATTTATGTATTACCATACTTAATAATTACAAAAAAATTATTATATTTAAAATAAAATATTATATAAATTTTATATCTAAAAATGTATCATAAAATGTAAACCCGCGTGTATACGCGGATCATCACCTAGTTACTAATAAAAGTTGATTTTAAATATCTCTAAGGGTGTCTACATAGGATTTAAAAGATCCAATTCTATGGTACACATCATCATTATCCATCGTTAATTATATTTTGTATATTAAAATTAATTAATTCACTTTTACTGATATAAAGAAAAATTTCTAAATTTTATCTATTACTAATAAAAGTTGATGCTAAATGTTTCTAAGAGTGTCCACATAGGATTTAAAAGATCTAATTCTATTGGTACACATCATCATTATCCATAGTTAATTATATATTGCATATTAAAATTAATTAATTCGCTTTTACTGGTATAAAAGAAAATTTCTAAATTTTAATTAATTTTGTCTTTGTTGTTATTAGGAAAGTTTCAAAATTTTAAGTTCGTTGGTAATAAGATTGAATTTATAAAGTAGATCTTATTTTTCTATTAACAATAAAAAGTAAATTAACAGATAAATATTTTTAACAAACAAAAAATTAACATATAAATAAATTATTAAAGAAAATTATATATATTGAAAAAAATAATTAAAAACCATAATTAAATTATTTCAAAATTTAAATCATGACAATCAATTAAAATCTGAACTGCTAACCTAAAATATATTAGTTGTAGTCCGTGTTGATGTCTTAGGCCAATGAAAGCATCCACATATGACGTAGAAATTCAAGCTGATTGGTCCACATCAATATTTCTTATTAAACATAAAAATATTAAATATGACTGATAATTTAAATAAACTAAAACATGCAAAAATATAAAATTACCATAGTAGAATAGAAAATTAAGATAAAAAAGTTTAACTAACAAAACAAATAAAACAAATTATGTCAAAAATTCAAATATATGTTTGTCAAAATAAAATGAAAACTTATTGTCACAAAAGTTAATCGAACAAAAATAAATATGTAAATCAATAACAAAAAAGTTTAATTAAAAAAAGAATTTTTTTTAACATATATATTTTAAATAAGTAATTAATTTAGAAAAATGTTTAGATTAAATTGTTTTTATAAACATTTAAAATTGTTATACAAAACTATCAATACCACCCAAAAAATATTTATGTTAAATTAACAAACACAAGTCATGTAAAACTTGATATTATTATTTAGAAATCAACACAAAAAGCTGAGCTAACCAAAAAAGTTCAACTAACAAAAAATCTAAACATAAATTATTTTTTGCAATATGTAAATACAATTAAAATAAAAATTCATATCGAATAAGTTAAATTAACAAAAAAAATATTAACTTCATATATATGCTATTTTTTATTTAAAAAAATCAATATATACAAAATAAGTAAGAAAATAAAAAAAACTTAAATAAAACTAACAAAAAACTTTACTAACAAAAAGAAGATATATATTTAAGCTAATTATTTAAAAAGTATTTAGAAATCAACACAAAAAGCTGAGCTAACAAAAAAAGTTTAACTAACAAAAAACTAAACATAAATTATTTTTTGCAATATGTAAATACAATTAAAATAAAAATTCATATCCAATAAGTTAAATTAACAAAAAAAAAAATATTGACTTCATATCTATGCTATTATTTATTTAAAAAAATCAATATATACAAAATAAGTAAGAAAATAAAAAAACTTAAGTAAAACTAAAAAAAAACTTTACTAACAAAAAGAAGATATATATTTAAGCTAATTATTTAAAAAATGTTAATTTTTTTTAAAAATCACTTTAAAAGAATCTGACTTGATATCTGACTAACTACTTAAGAAATCAATATTAAAATATTTAACTAAAGAAAAAACAAAATATATATTCAAAAGTATCAATATTTTCAAAACAATTATGTGTTAAAATAAAATAGAAATCAATATTAAGAGAAGTAAATTATCAAAGTAAAAAGTTGTATAAAGAAAACCTAGCTTGATATTTAGGCTAATATTTTGGAAAATCAACATAGAAAATTAACTAAAAAGAAAACAAATGATAGTATAAACTTTTTAGAGAAGACCACATAAAATTTAGAATACCCACTCATATCATGTCAAAATAGCATTATAATTAAAATAAAAATTAATGTAAAAAATAAATTTAACAAACAAAAAATATTTATGTTAAAGAGATTAAATTGATATATGCTAGCTATTTGGAAAACCAATAACAAAAAGATTAATTAAAAATATATATATGTTTTAAATATAACAAACATGCACAAAATTAGATAAATTAAAATAAAATAAAAAATTACCATCGAAAGATATGTAACATAACAAAAAACAAAAAGCTAAGAAGAAAATTTATTTCAAGAAAATTCATGAATTCTAAAATATTGGTATTGGCTATGAATAACCATATAAAGTTATAGTAGGTTATACAAGTTTCTAAATTAAATATGGGAGTATTATTTAAATTTACAATAACTTATACATTGGTTGCGTCTGGTTTAAAAACTAACAAAATAATACTACACAAGTAATTTTATATTCTAAATATAACAATTAATTTATACATAGGTACTACTTATAACTCAGCCAACATGAACAGCACACGAGTAACATCTTCTAAATTTTCTTTTAAATAATAAAGTATGATAAAGTTTTGAAATAAATTCAAATTGAAATATATCTAGATGAACTATTCAAATCAAAACATGAATAAACCATACAAAAGATAAAAACAGTAATAATGTGAAGACTCCACATCATCTTACATGTTTTAAAAGAAAAACTATCAAATACTTTACTGCAAAAAAAACAGATCTTATAAATTGAATAGATATATAACTTAAAATTCATAGAAGATCAGGTAGAGAAGCAAGAATCAGCTTTACATGATTATTGTAGTATCCTAACAAAAGTAAATCCGAATCAACATGAATCATATATATCATATATACATAGGTACACAACATCAGCGAGACATTTAATCAAAAACTAAATATTTGAACATATAAACCTTAAAAAGAAGAACTATATAAATCGTAAGGACATAAAACAAAACACCAAAAAATTAGTAAGTAAATTATTCTCTAAATCAAATGTATACACGTCGAAGTTAGATAATTCTTTAGATGTTATTACTATGATTTAACTTAATAAGATTTATAAATTTATAATAAAAATAGTTAAAACTACATATTATGTTTTAATTTTTTATATAAAAGAAAATTTCTATAAATATATTATCCTTTTAAAAAACTTAAAAGATATTAGTCAAAAAAGAACTAAATTAAATTATTAATACAAACTTGCGCGTAGCGTGAGTTAAAAACCTAGTTTATTAAAAGATAAAATGAGTTATAACGACAAAGACAACGACGACCTTCCTTTTCAGTTAATTATCTAAGATAAGTGCATAACTAAAAAATAATTGACTTGGAAATAAAAACTAATGAAAATACGTCAATGCACAATTATGGCAACATCATGAACCTGAAAGAGAAGCCGAAGGATTAAAAGATTTTAAACGATTTTGAGAATTTTAAAATTTCCAATGTTGTTAGTTTATAGATTCTTCAAATCTTAGTAAAATTTATTGTTATTGGTTTAAAGATTTTGAAATTCCATCACAAATCCTTTGTTATTCAAAAAGTTTAATTATTATTGATTTTGTAACTCTAT